GACTGTCATCTTCATTGTATGCATATTTATAACAAAACAGAGCCCATAACATCACTGCCTCCTTTCATTTTCATTAAAAATATGAAACCTATTGATGACCAACTAAACTTCTCTGACCACATTTCTAGAACTGATCTTGCAGATTTGCACTCTTTAACATCTGAAAGGTCCGACCCTTCCTATCTGAACATCTGAGCAGCTCAACTCCTTGTTCAAGCTCTTGTTTTCTCCAGACTGGACTATTGCAACTCTCTACTAGCCGGGCTTCCAGCTAACACTATCCAGGGCTCGAAATGAACCTTTTTGCTTGGTAGCACCGGTGCTCCTAACTTTAAAAATTTAGGCGCATCAGCCAAAATTTAGTCACACCCACCAATTATGAGCACCGTTACTACAAGTTTTATACAAACAAATTGATTGTATTTGAAATCAACACTAATCAAACTAACAAGCAAAAAAAAAAAATCATATATAATGTTATATGCAAGCGTGAGGAAAATGAGTCTCAACAAAATCCCGTTATCACAAGCAAATAGATTTTTATAACATAACTGGGAGACCAAAGCATACACGGAGCGCTCACCGGCCCTGCACACACTGTTTGAATTAACGTGTTAACGGTATAACTAGTAAGATGTGTCATTATTTGTAACTGTAGATGCCATGGTTTCTAAAACAAAATCTGTCAAGTGTTATGTTAGCTTCATTCTCATCTTCAGCGCTTTACAATTTTAAAGAGGTAGTAGCTCTCTGTCATGCGAAGCCAGAAGGCACTGAGTGATTGACAGCTGATATTAACCAATCATTCGCGTTCAGTGCTAGAGCAGTGGTGGGCCAATAAGAAGAGTGCGAAGGCGGGGCAAGTATTACGGACTTGGATTTGTTTACTGCAGCAAGTCGACATGACAACTGTTTTAAACCATTCCTGAGCGCTGCGTTTCGCGTTTCAAGTGCAGACAAAAAGCTTAGAGATGCATTCTGCGTGAATGTCTCTCGAATCCGCGCATGTGCTGAACATTTTGCAGTAAAAATTGGTCGCACACTACAATTTTAAACAAACCTCCCCTGCTCTGTTTGGCAACAGACAGGCAGACAAAGAGAAGCAGCAGGAGTGAGAGGATCAGCATTCAGCCGTACATGTACGACTCGGACACAGACCAAACAGAGAGGTCACAATCATTTGTGTCTTTGTGTAGCTTTACAGCCAACTGTGTGCTAGTTTAAAGTGCCGAGCTTACACTGAGACTAATAACCACGCACTCTGAATTAACTTTGACTGACGCACCAGATGCGATGCTCAGAGCCGAGACACGGCACACCAGACACGCAAATCTGATGTTATTTAAATTGAAACTATTCAGATGGAGCTCTGTGGCGCGGCAGAAATACAGTGTCCTGAATCGTGGCTGGGCGCCGCGGACAGCTGCCGACTTGAAGCGCCGTTGTGTGTACCCTGATAGAAACCTATGTTTAGAATTCTAAAATGCATGGCGCTGCATGTCGCAGAGTGGAGCTTCTAGTGTGAGACCTTTAGGCAAGTTCGTTATTTTATTTCCAATGGAGAGACGCGCACGTAGGCAACGCGCTCGCATTTTCCAGCTCCACCTAGTTAAGATCACAGGGAGCTTCTGTGACTGCGAGAAATGCAAACGGCTGAAGTTTAAGGTAGATGCAATGAAAAGTTCACATGTTTGCAAACCTACCTAAAGTTACAAACAATAATTCCTTTTAGAGCGATCATGTGGTGAATGTTGATCTTGTGTTGAGTCCAATAAGCCTTATATCTAAAAATAGAGCAAGGGTGTTCCTTTAGTGACATCGATTTGACTCACACGCTGAAAACGGCGGACGTGAAACAACAAACTGAGGATATGGTGATGCGTCCCTGTCAATCAATATTGGTGGGCGGGGGGACCGCACTCCTACATCAGGTTGCGGTCGCTCTGAAAACCGCTCCAATTGGTCCACCGTTTTTATGTTGTTAAATTGAAAAAAAAAAGGACTGTGTGTGTTTATATAAGCCTAATATGACCGTCTATACACTATATATACACACACGTCTGTTCAAACAGCTTGAAAAGTAGATTTTTCACCATAGGTGCCCTTTAATACACATATAAAAATTAATTTACTTTTAGGAAAGTTTCTTCACAAATGTTATAAATCAGAGCCCTGTTGACTAAAGTGAACTCACAAATAGAGCTGGGGCAATAGATTTACTTAGACCTGACGTGACAAGGCCTATTTGGTTTTTTTATTATGCCCTGATACAGAAAATCCTGTAATTGACAATAGGATGTCCTAACTTATTCAGATGACTGTAAATTCTGTCTTTTAAACAGCAGGTAGTAAGTGTGAGACAGCAAGTGTTTACATGCAGTCCGCTCGCTCCACAGACACATACACTCACACACACTGGGTTTGTGTACAGAGGATTCTCCAGGTCTCTGTAGGCAGTCTGTGTTTACTCACAGGACAGCTGGTGCCATTTCATTATCATTTTCTCCATGTGTGTGTTTGTGTGTGTGTGTGTGTGTGTGTGAGCGAGAGAGAGAGAGAGCTCATGGTCATCTGTGGTCTGTCTGTGTTGTGCATTGTGATATATCTGTTATTTGAACCAGCACAAACCTACACTCACACACACACGCACAAAGGTATTGGTGATATATGGGGACTCTACTTAAGGCTGATATCAAACAACTATCGCAGATGAAACCAAACTGTGGTGTCGGTTCATAGTGGCTCGCATCTCTAGTCCCGTCTGGAGCGAAAATCTGCACATGGACACACCAAATGGACAACAGCAGACTGATTCAAGAGCGTGTGCTCTGCATCGGTGTGAGAGGATTTGTCTTTTCACACCAGCAGATGGCACTCATCTATTTTTTCGTTCGATAAAAGGAAACAGAACTTCTAATGCACACATGCAAAGCGTAAACAAAGCAGCGTTTAGTACCATAGATCCTTTTCACAAGACTCGTTAAACGGTCATCAGCATCTTAAATCTTTCAAAGATTTTAATATGTAGATGAAAAAAACATGAACATTTATATTTATTAATATGTGTGTTATATCTTCTTTACATCAAATTACAAAAAAAAACAAAAACTCAGAATGACCGCTTACTAGAGATGCGCGGATGGGCTATTATTTCATCCGCAACCGCATAACAAAATTCATCATCCGTCCGCCATCCATCCGCAGTAACATTTTTGACCAATTTTTAAAACCGCACCCGCCCGCCATCTGCTGATTGGGCTCTTTATTTGAATGGCTTATTCCTTTTTATTATTAAATGAATGTTTCTTTATTGCTCATTATAGAATAGAGAACGACTTTAATGTAGACATGCAGTTAATCCAAACGTGCAAGTCATTAATTGACGACGCTTTGAAGTGACGCTAAAGATACGAGGACGTGTCTTTTCACTTGATTCGATTCCTCGGTCCTTCTTTTCCTTGCGTCCTTCCCTCGTACCGTTATCCCGGTGGGGTGGAAACAAGAGGAAAGAAAGCAAGGAAAGGAAACGAGGATGTACAAATAAGAAATGAGAAGCGCCCGAGCTCTCAGAATATCAGCAGTGAACTCCGTCTCCAATCGGCGCACAGGGACAAAAGTAAATAAATAGCCTAAATTAAACGCACTGTACTATACAACTTTTTTTTATTGTAGCCTAATAGAAAACGCATTGACACATCATTTGCTATTTAGCCTACTACTAAATGCCTATTTCACTTAATTTTTTAATAAATAGATAGAATAATAAGTCATTTACATTATAGCCTAATAATGTTTACATTTGTAGTTGTCCATAGCAACCCCAAAAACGTACCTGATTGCCTTGCACATCTAATTAATGGGCACAGTTTTTCGACTATTTTTTTATTTATTATTTTTTATTTTTTGCTGTGGATGTTATTGAGCTTGTAGAAATCGGAAAGAACACCATTCTGCGACAAGATGAACCTTTATTGATATTTCTATCAGACAATACCTATTTTATATGCCAAAAGAAACAACAGGCAGTAAAAAAATATTAACATAAATATCTTAATGTAGGCATAGGCTATAGTCGCATGCTTTGGCAAACAGTTGAAAATTTTTTTAATAAAAACGTCATATCGTGCCTTAGCCTTATAGGTTCAGTCACCCCCACAATTAGAAATTAAATTAGAAAAATAGATTTGCCATCCCTCTTTGAGCGAACATAAAGTCTGACCAGGCTAAGTGCATGTATGACAGTGTCAGGATTCAGACGGGAGCGCCTGCATAGCCACTAATGCGCCCTGCTGCACTGAAGGAGCGCTCGCTCGCAGCACTTGTTCCTGAAATGCATATAATTCTCTTGGAAAGGTGCTGCAGTCGTGGGAATGTCTGGCCTTATTTCTCCCTAAAGGAAAGTAGATTTTCCTCTGCTGATCCGTCTATACGGAAGTTTGTAGAGGAATACTTCTGTACTTCATCCAGAATTAGTGTATCCGATTCCTCCTCCCATTCTGTGAAGTCAGTCCTAGGCTTTTTCGTTGGTGCGCCAGCTATGTGTACAAAAACAGTACAACCGCCCGCCACCCGCCCGAATTTAATTAAAATATTATTTTTTCGTAACGTCATCCGCCCGATCCGCGGTTTATCCGCGGAGTCCGCGGCTATAACCGCCAACCGCGCATCTCTACCGCTTACACAAGGTGTTTTAATGCAGCGTCTTTGGGGCTGAGACTAAATTTGACATTATTCTCTCCTCTGGCTGCCGTTATCAGTTTCACACTATGTTTGCCCTCTTTCTGAAAGTCTTGATTCACCATCATGGAGTTTTTCTTTTATTGTTTTGTAAAAAGTATTGTAAAGTAAATATTTGTTGTACTCTCCCATTCACTGTGCTCTAAGGCCCTGTTTACACTGTTACACCACCTCTATGCATGCAAGATGTTACACTGAGGGAGTTCACAGAATTTTTATTTCACGCATACTGAAATTAAAATAAACTTCACAAGCCTGTTCTACCCTTTTTCCTTCTCGTTTAATTTCTCTACATGTGTATATAGTATATAGTCCACACAAACAAAAGTAATCAATATCCAAAACCAAGCAGTCATTGAATGTAAACAGTCTGTGTAAATGATATAGATGGTTGGGTGAATGTTGCGTAGACGGATTTGAGTGCGATGCAATAATATCCACTTCCTCACACTGGGAAAACTGTAGTACGATGAGGAATTTAAGAGTCACTGACCGTCGTTCCAATTGTACACATATAGTTCACTCGCCAATGAGAAGCATAAAGAATGTTGAAAGCACCAACAAACACCTCATCTGAACATCTCTAGGACAACAGGTCCTGTCTACATAAGAAATAAACATAGGGCAAATCACAACTAAATATTGAAAATACTTTTCAAACTTAAAACTTATTCAATACTCACATTTGAGCAGCAACAATAATGTTCTCAAAACAATCAGAGCCGGAGTGGGTCGGTAGCCTAAGTTTACCATGTGGTTCCCTCTACCAAACACGACTCACTTGCTCTATGGTGAACTGGAATATATCCAGTTCCCACTCCCCTCTAGTGCCACCTAGTGGCCTGTAGTAATATTGCAACCAGTGCTTCTCACATCACAAGAAGCTAAAACAACAATTAAAGCATGTAACGTTTGTTCGTTACAACACTAATGCGTTTTGGTCCCACTTTATATTAAGTGTCCTTAACTACTATGTACTTACACCAAAAAATAAATACAATGTACTTACTGTGTTTATAATGTATTGGAGAACACTTGTGGTGCTCTTGAGTTGGGATAGAGGTTGGGTTATGGACAGGTTTGGTGGTATGGGTAGGTTTAAGGGTGGGTTAAGGTGTAAGGGATGGTCAACAGTGTATTTACAAATGTAATTACAAAAGTTACTTACAGATGTAATTACATACATGTATTTAATTAAGCATAAGTACACAGTAAATACATGTATTTACACAATAAGTACTTTGTAACAAACTATTAATTCCTGTATAAGTACATATTAGTTAAGGCCACTTAATATAAAGTGGGACCTGCGTTTTAGTTTGAAAACGCATAGGTTTTGCTACGGTGTTTACGAGCGCCGAAAACAAATTCCTCATATGTGCAAACCTATCTGCCAATAAAGCTTTCTGATTCTGAAAAAAAACGGAGTGTTTTGTAAACCCTTGAGAGGCCATTTTCATTCTAAAACACTGCTGCTCCATCTCATTGTGGATGGGGGAAAACTGAGACATCTGAAAACGGAGGCGTTCATTCCCCTCTCTGATTGGGGCTTTTCCTAAACATTAAGTAGCCTACACACACAGTTCAGTCCTGCATCCTCTTCTTGTAAGTTCAGACTTTGCAAATTTGATATGGAAAACAAACTCCCGAGGACATGTCGGTAAATCTTCAAAGAGAACAGCGTCCTATATAACCTTATTCACATCATTCTGGCCACATTGTTTCACTTTATCTTAATAATAAAATAAAAACATGATGGAACTGCTATTTTCATTTTGATATTACCGACTTAACAGACAGCAGAAATGTTGAGGCGTCGTGCTGCATATATAAGCGTCATCTTCACTGTATGCATATTTATATCAAAATGGAGCCTATAACATCACTGCATTTTCATAAAAAATACGAAACAAGCCCTCTCTTTTGCTGAATATCAGTTTTAATAATCAATAATGGCCATTATAAAAGTATAACATACGAGAAGTTTATAAATAATAGGAAATAAAGGCAAGCAATAAGGGTTATAACTTACATGGTTCAAGCGATGGATCTGCGACAGAGAAACTATGCGTTTTGGGAAATACTCGTCACTACGTCGTTCTTTTCCGAAACAATGCATCGTACCATGATAGTTCAGCCGTGAGTTATGTTGTTGTTTGGGAAACCCACCCCAGTACGGTAACAAAGACACACAAAGCACACATAGCAGGGTGCTGCATTGATGAAGACTGAGAACCACTGCCATAAACCACACTGTTAGACCTTACCGGGGTTTTTTACAGTAGAATACTGGCAACACTGTTGCCAGTTTTCTACTGTAACTGAACCGTTACAGTGAGTGGCTGGCAACAGTGTTGCCAGTTAATTACTGTAATAGAGCAGCAGTGGTAACTAACTGGAAACTGTGTAGAGTTAATTACTGTATTGTAGTGTTACAAATCACAGCATTATACTGCATACACATTAATAGTAT